TCGTAACTAGGTAGAATATGATAGCTATGCTGTTAGTATAGAAGTAGGGTAACTGGCTGCTAAGAACCGTGTCACAGGTTAGATTCCAGCCATTTCACTTCTATTTCATTGTTCAGAAGTCACAAGTTGTTCCAGGTCGAAGTGTGAGTCATATACTTGCAAACGAAGTTATAACACAATCAAATTCTAAATTGATAATTATGTTTTTGACTTACTTACATATCTGTTTGACTAGGAACTTGACTAGTTTCAAGTCATGCTAGAGGCCGAGTGACGGGTGAGTAAGCCGAAAACTTAATAATTATGTTTCACGAAAGTATACAAAAAATCAAATTATTGTATGAAATATAGTATTAAACTAATAAAATGATTAATTGAAATAGATATGAGAATACCACAATTTCTATCATCCACGTTCAATATGAATTCAACACAGAAACACACTAGTAGAACTAAGATTATACAAATAAATAAAATCTAAAAGAAAAAATGATTATTTGTCGCCTGTGTATAACAGGCCTAACGCTAAATCTGACAGTTCCCAGTAAGGTGGTTAGTAGGATTGTCGAACGAGCGACACCTGCGACACCTATGTTCTTGTGTTCCTGGTCATGTTGACTTTGAGGTCGTTATTGCAGACATATATTTGAGGATCAATTATTGCCGATCCGATATAAAAATAAAGATAATTTAAGAAACCTCCTTTTCCTTAAAAACAAACTGTAATGTTTAAAAAATACGGATATATTTTGTAAGTCACAATAGGCTAAGTAAAATAAACATTAAACCTCTCAAGAAGTAAAATGTCAATAATTTTAGATGGCATGTTTAAACATTTTATGGTGTTGCATCTCGCCTTTAATTAAGTTAAGAACCTATATTTACAAGAACGAGTAACATTTCATTATTGGAATCTCACCTGCCATTGACATTTTTTGTGATTTTCTCGGAACAAAGTCCGTAGCTAAAGTAAATGCTACTACGCCGAGTATGGCTACGGCGTAGTAGCATTTATTGCTACAAAATCGTTTCAGTTCTGGCGTAGCAGTATCGACTAAAATACCAAATGTAAAATTAGTATTTTTAGGATAGTCGACTGACTTGTGAGACTTTACGGTAAAGACTAAATAAGGTGTTTGTAATACCTAATAATTTGTACCTACATTCATTTCAAATAAATAATCTATTGTATTCTAAAGAAACAAAAAGAAATAAGCGGTAATTTCACAAGGGATAATGTTGACTATAACGTTGGATTAACTAGGCTTCCAAATATAATACGTACGTATCAAAATAAATTACAAATCAATCTCTCTGAATGTTTGTTCACGAACCCACGAACTTTTATCATCGAAGAAACTTATTTATCAAAAATATTTTTCTATTTTTATTCCATTACATTTAAAAGTCTAGACAATATTAATTTAATTGTAAAGTGACTACTAATATAATTAAATCCGTGTATTGAACAATTTCTACTTGTTTTTGTTTTGCTCTCAGTCAGTGGCTACTGAAAGTACTTATTCAGGTAACTGAAGGTATCATAGACTGGTGATGATTCCCTATAGAATGGCCTAGTGCAGGGGTTCTCAACTGTGGCCTGCAGCGTAGTAAAAAGTTTAATATTGTTCACGGGGCCATGGAACTTGGAAACTTTGAGAATCCCTTAGTGAAATGAAATACATAACGATTATTTGGATTAAATAGTTCTTGACAACTAAAACACTCATATAAATATGACAGAAATTTTTCATCACTTCTATTCCAGATTACGTGTAATGACAGATTTTAGAAGAACTCCGAAACCCCATATGGTATTTTAGAATTCAACTTAAATAAAGATTACATAAAAATAAAATCGACATGAAATCAACCAAAAAAATAAAAGTACCGTTTGAAAACACCGAAAAATAATCAGGTTAGTTTTAGAAGTGAGTGACAAAGCGAACGAAACAATGAACCAGTGACTCGTAAAACAAAAGATTGTTTTGTTTTTATTTTTTAAAGGATTTTCTTATTGTTCGCACTTCAGGGCGACACCTCAACCTAGGACTTTAATGATGTGGTCAGGTGTAAGACTGAGAGATATCTCATGGGAACTCATTATGCAATTTAAAGATAAAATTGAATGGAGTGGTCAGATGTAAAATTGGTATGATTTCGAGAGATATAATGTGAAGACTCGTTACGCAATGTGAAGATGAGGTTACAGTGTATCGGACTAATATCGATTGATCTAAGGTTGGTAATAAATGACGATGATAGATAATCAAGTTTTTATTTAACAGAACAAAATGCTTCTTTAATGTATACTTTCTTTAATCCTAAGAAGAATTGTAATGTTTCACATAAATTTATGCAGATGATTTAAGAGGATAAGCAATATCTAGCATAGATTTACGATGAAATACTTAATGTATGAAAGACATTAACATTTAATATGCATAAAATGATAGCGTTGTTTAACAAATATGCAACAATGATTAAAAACCACAGTAGGTAAATGTATGAATAAAAAAGATTAATAATACATAGGTATATGTGAATAATTAAATTGCATAGGTAATTGCATCAGTACCAATATAGTTGTGTAGAGTGACGCCACCGTCTCTCTTGACGTACCTTCCTTTATACCACCTACGTAAAGTTGGTGTTCTTTTATTTTAGAACAAAGGTATATAGTAGGTGTTTAAAATATCAAAGCCATTTGGAATAAATATCTATGATAAAAATCTGTTTCTTTTACTTTCAATAAATGAAGAATTTTACGTCATGGGAAGAACTTGAATAGGTACACAAGTTGGTAAGCTACATAACGTTACACCTTTTAAGTGGAGTGGTGTGAATGAGGCATGCTACGGCACAAATGGGCCGGCTGGACCCGAGTCGAGAGACCACGGCCTTACAGAAAACCGACATGAAACAAAAGTTTGAGCTTACTGGAGGCCTAATTACTCCACTCCCCAATCTTCCCTATCCCCTAATCTCCAATATTCCTCAAACTCCTAATCCTCAAAAGGCCGGTAACGCATTTGTAGTACCTCTGGTGTTTCATGTGTCCATGGGTGGCGCCGATTCGCTTACCATTATATACTCCGTATGCTCATTTACAGGCTTATACCTTAAAAAAAAAGTATATTTTACCAGCTGTGTGTGTGGGCTGTGGATAGGGAGTGAATTTATTGTAAGCTACATATACACAAATGGGGGACAAATACCAATTTATTTTTATTAGTGCCAACTTTCGAAAAACTAAAAATAATACCAATAACGTTTGGACATCAAGCTCCAGCCAACCAATGAGGTACTAATATACTATAATAAAACCTTAAAATTTGTTTTGATACCTGTCTTTGTTACAAATGACATGAACAATATTTTTGAAGCTACTTTACAGACTCAAAAATCAAAATATACACGGGTCTAAGAAAGGAAATTTACCTCTTATGAGTTACGGAAGATAGATACGACTTTGTGTGGTAAATTGACGTTTATTGGGGACAGGTTAAGACTCAGAATATACCCTCATCTAGTTTTGGGAAGAATACTAGGTAAAGGAATGGTCTATTTAGTATTACTCTTTATATGAAAAATATATGCTGCATATTTAAATGCTTCCTGCTCAAAAAAAATGTTTTCTAGTGATATGACAGTTTTGTTGGTTTTGGTCCAATATGTGAAACGTCGTCTTTAGTAAAGTGCTGGCACGAGTTCGACGTCTCAGGTTCGATTTTTGAGTTTGCAAAAGTATTTTGGGTATATTCGGATTTTCCAAATTTGTATAAATTGGCGGTGTCTATAATTGTTTCCAGTGTGTACTAGGTAAAAGGCACTACCTTATCACATAGGAGTAATAGTTAATTAGTGAAAAATAGGTTAGAGTCATTAAATTGTGCACTTCTGGCAACTTCTACGGAGAGTCGAAAGTAACTTCTCTCGGATGTTCTTTTTTGTTTTTTCCATCCGTTAGTTCCTTTGATCGGAGTTTTATACTCGATGAATGGGAAATTTAAAACGGTGTAAAGGTTTTTATGTATATAATTCGAAAAGGGAACGAAAATATGGCATTCGTTTGCTAGTTTTTAGTGCCAGTTTAAACAGTCGGCATAGTAAAAGATATTTTTTTCTTCTAACTTTGTGTTAACTAGCCTAGTTTCCTTTGACGCTATGGGAAATCCATAATTGACTTCTTGCTCCGCAATCACACTTGTGACCACACGACATACTACGGCAGTTAAAACTTTATTAGGTGCCATGAAAAAAACGAAAAGTAGTGATGCGTTGAATATTACCTAATTTTTAAAAATAATATTATAAAAAATGAAAACTAATAAGTATTCATAATTTTTACTCAAAACTTCAAATCATTCAACAAAAAAAAAATAAAAACGATTCTTAAATCAAATGAAATTAGATTCTATTTTTATTTTCTTGTAATAGTATTGTAATAAACGTTAAAGATGTTATTTTCTATTTCACTAATTATTGAAATATTCAACTCTAGAGACTCACTTACACGTGCACGGCTCCAGTTATCATAAGGCTGTTACCATCCTTTATATTATCAATTTGATCCACAGATACCTTAAAAATATCCTTTACATTTTACATTATTTTAATTACTTTAACAAAACAAGTAACGCCGTCACGAAATAAGGTAAACAGTATATTTTCAATGTCGCTAACTAAATAAATGTAAACTTTCTTTAACGAAGTTTAAAATCGCGACGATAATTAATCGGATTCATTTTGATGGCAAAACTTTAGCACACAGATGAAATAAACAAGATTTTAAGTAGAAATTAAGACCTTATTAGTTTATGAATAAGGATAATTTAATAAAACAATGCATTTATTTTGGATATGTTATAGTATGTTAGCTAATTACTATGGTCGTGTGCCGTAGGCCGATGCCTACGCACGCCTACGCTGGGCGCGGCGTAGCAGCGTAGCACCAACCGCTACGCTTTCGTCTTTGCTCCTGGTTGGGCCGGGGTATATAACTGGGGAGTGCGAGGTTCTATGCCACTTGTGTACAGCCGTCTCAGCGCGCAACACGCGCTTCTCTCACACCAGTGTTACAGTGCACTAATCGAACTCTTTCGGACTAATCCAACTTGCAGGTAAGTTCGTTACCGGCTACCATAAGTTTGTTAGGGTATTTTAAAGTTCGGTTTTAGTAATTTTGAATTATTGGATGCCTATTTAGGATCTTTTTCATATGTGTATATTCATTTAACGCCATTAAAATTACTCAATAAATATTAATAATTACAATTCCTTTAATCAATTCGGATTTTTATTTACTAATGTTAATTCAACTGCAGTATGATTTTAAACGACTAAATAAAAAAAATAGACTTTAAAATTAATAAAGTTAATATATAACAACATTAATGATGACGATCAAGTGACAAGTTATTTATAAGTAATTGTCTATGGATAATGTGTGCAGGGATGCTTACTGACCTATGTGACACGATCTACATCAGATGAATACCTCACACGAGAAAAATGCAATTAAAACTATTTCATTATGATAAAATACGAGCTGACTGTTACAGATATCGGCTTAACTCGTCGAGTACCGGTTTTGTAGACACAATTATAGAACAATAGGTTGCGGTCACCGGTGACCGCTTGGTATTTGACAGTTTAAATCATATAAAATAATTAAATGTTAATCCTTATTTATGTAAGTATCCTGAAAAGTGAGCCCCAACTGTAATGTCTCCCGCTACCAAATCATTTGGGACATAAATAGCGTGATGATAGATTTGATAAAATATTGTTATTGATTTATTTAGATTATTAATTTGTTAAAATGTGATTAATGATGCAATATTTATAAATATTACGTGTTTATCCATTAGTTTATAACGGAAAAAATAATTTTATAAATCTGATCATAAATAAAATAAATGAATATTCACTAATTAAAAACTGGCTATTCTTCATTGAATAACAAAATTAAAGTTATTCACAGTATCAATTTACGTTTAACAATACAACTAGATAACTCCGGAAATTAAAAAAATGTAGTTAAACTAGCACAGCATGATAGTAAAATTTTATACAGAAGAAGTTCTATTAAAAATCTATAATAATATTTTATTGAAGATAGTGAATAATTCGAAGACAGCTAGCTTTCACAATTAGTACTTAATTATTTTTACACTTCAGTAATTATTGTACCGACAGTAATTAATTAATTAATTAATTTAAAGCAAAATTACATACCGAAATTATACTTGATGTTTCATATTCTTTATAAGACGCATTTATTTTTAAACTGACATTATTTGCTTCAACAAGCAATTAAATTAATCCAGTGTTCTTTTTTTAAGAGCCTAGAGAGGCTCTTACATTTCATATTCCTCCTAAGAAAGTAACACGAACAACTTTTTAAATTTTTAAACCATAGACACAATTCCTTTTTTACCATAAATTAAAAACAATACTTCTATTTGAAGCGTTTAATATGCACTTGTCTGTCCGACACGTGCCGTGCTCAAAGGCATCCGTTCTTAGGCTAACAGCTGCAGGATTCAGTTCACGTCAAAGGATAGCTCATTTAACCATCGTGTGTTTAACTGAAAGTGTTAAAACAGTGTATTTTTTTTAAACAGAATTTACTTTGAATTGCTAATTAACTGTCTTTTTCATTAAAACCATCCCACGGACGTTTCATGATTGGTTGATTGTGTATTTTTAATTTTAGGAAAGGTTCAAGTATTTTTATCGGGTAAGATATTTCGTCCCTGCGGCTTACCGAGTTATTTTATATTACGCTTATTTAAACTCGTGTGGTAACGAGGACATTATATTAAAATGCCTATCTAATAACTTCGATTCGAAGCGGATCTTTTGAAATATGTGACTGACGTCCGAATACTGAAAGGCTACCTACTCAATTATTATATAAAATCTCTGTCTTTTTACAAAGAATTTGTAGTGACAGAACTACATATACATAAGGACTATTTAAAATTAAGAAACCTTTCATTGCTTTATTAGTCACACCAAATTAAAAGTCGAGCGAAAAAATACTCGGTAATGGTTGTTAATATGTACAAACATAGTACGCTTTCGGACAATGAACCAGGATATAAGTATTCAATCCTTAAAATCAAGTGACAGTATTCAGTCACCCAACATGGGCTTTGGTGTTAAAAATAAATTGCAAGCAATTAAAAAGTATTATTATAAGTGACGAAAATCTCGACCGCCGCGCCGCCGGTCACCTTTGTCATAAAGAATTCACGAGAAAAAACATGGGACAACTGTACCATAATAGAATAAGCCTGAAACGCGGTAAACATTTTAGGATAATCCGAAAATTCCGCTTTTTTATTAATCCACTTCGTTTTGTAGACATTTTTATTTTATAAACTATTGAAATTATTCTGTTCATCTTCAGAAAGTCAGTTAAATAATGTAAAAGCAATTTAGCTTATCAACGTTTTTAAATAGACGAAGTACTTTTTCAGTACAATAGCCTAAACGACCAGTAATTTCACTTGAAAGCGTTATTTCATAGTTTCTTATTTAAAACTTATAAACTTTTTGGTATAACCTCAAAAAAAAATTGCACGAGTAATTGGCACACATTGTCAAAAAAAAAAAATTAATAAAGCCATTTATAACAAAAAAAGAAGAAAATAATCATAATTTTTTTGTTGGCCTAATGGCTATATACTGTAATTTTTTGTACAAAAATGGCCAGTACTATACAGTACCTAATAAAGTTATAGTATGAGGTTGCATATAATTGAAATAATTAAGAAGATTTTCTTACTTTAACTTTTTTTTTCAACAAACGAAGTAGATATCACATGTTCTAGTTTTAGTTTGTGAACTGAACAGAATTGCATAGGAAGAAAAGACTAAGTTTAAAAGACAAGCAAATTAGGAACTTTAGCGGGAATAGAGTTTTGTTCGAGAAGATTCCAATATTTCTGGTTGGTTACGTGTAAGAATTAAAGAAATTAAGTTCTTCTTGCAAAGGGACTATACCTAAAGATGAAAGCAGTCAATAAATAAATATTTATTTATTCCGTTTTCCTCAATAAATCGCTACGGGCTATTTTGTGACTATACTCGTTAAAAAGACTAATGATAAATAATAAATATTTATTGACGAGAATTTCAATGAAACAATTTGTTTAAATTTCAAAATTACCGGATATTTTCTATTTAAGCCGCTACCAATATTTATTGAATATTTTTATTATTCTAATCAGCCTATATTTTTGTGAATTGATAATGAAATTTATTTGCGTGAACGTAACTAGTATTTCATTTATTGTATCTATTGCTTTGACGCTCATTTTAAAAAGAAGTACGCCATATTGTTTTAAATGTCAATGAACAACGAAGTGTCAATGTCAAGATGCCACTTTACCGCGTATCCGCACAGAAGTAGCTATTCAATATCTTGCATTCAAGAAAGCATGTTATTGCTTTACTGAGAATTAAAAAACACAAAATATCACAGCCGTTCGAATCTGAATATATTTTTATGGTCTAAGTATTAAATAGTTATTATTATATGATGTACCTACTTTTTTAAAATGTTGTTTAATAAGTGATATTATTATTATCAATTTATTTTTGTTGATATAGAGGGCAAGCCTATTGCCGTATGCGTATGCAAAGCTCGGATCAAAACTCAGAATTTAGTTCAAAAGAAAATAATAATGCTTTGTCTCGTCTTGGGGAGGAGTTTCAAAGAATGTTGCTTTATTTAGTACCTACTTTTTGTAAACAACAGTCACAAATTTAACTCGTCGAGTACCGTCTTTGTAGACACAATTATAGAACAATAGGTTGCGGTCACCGGTGACCGCTTGGTGTTTGACAGTTTAAACAAAAAATATTTGATAAAAATATGACGTCATAGTCAAATAATTAACTTATCACTATCAAGCGGTTATCTACGAGTGCTACTCTAAAGTAATTTTTATAAAAATAAAAATTCCATTTCCTTATTGATAGAGTGCTCACATGTGCAACTGCCCAGTGACTGGGACCTAACCTAGCCTAACAAGGTTTTAAATAGACGAATTATGTTTTCAGTCCTAAAGCCTCAATATTAGTAAATTAATTTTAGAACCATTTAAAACGTATAAACTTTTTGGTACGGCCTGTAAGGAATAATTGCGCACGTAAAGGCCACTTTCTATTGAAAAAATGTAAAATAGCCATACATAAAAAAAAGAAATAAATATTGTTTTTTACTGACCTAATAGCTGTACTGTATTTTTAGGTAAAAATGACCAGCGCTTTAATAACGGTAATGAATGAGGTTGCATTTAATACTATAGTTATCATTACTAGTATTTACTAACTTAAAAAACTTGGAGCAGTCATTTAACCGCTCGCCGTCTTTATAGGTAGATGATTTTTTCCGTCTTTCTAGTGTTAATTGAAACAAACAGATTTTGTAACTTTTAACTTTTTTGATAGAGTGGTCAGAAATGCGAATGGCCGTCGGAACCTGAGATCGATCGATCTGGGTCAGACAATGGGAATTTTTCGGTTTTTTGAGCTCAATATAAGCACAGAGATTTCTTTCTTTATATACCTTCTTTCAACCCGTAGTCTGATTTTAGAAGGCTGCATCGTATGATTCTTTCCGATCTCTTTGAGTGCCTGATTTAATTTCTTACGAGGTATATCTTGATAGAAAATCTAAGAAGCTTTCAAGAATGTTATTGTTTGGTTCCTATGCAGTCCATAACCCATTGAGTGGTTTTTTATGTAACAGAATCTCAGTTTGTATATATGTATTAATTGTTTAGAATTTTGTGATTTAATTCACGTGTATTACACGTGTATTGTTAATTGTTTATTTTAATTGTTTACATTTATATAGGCTGAACATGGGATACCCTGGTCCCAAAAAAACATACAAATCAAAATGGCGGGTTGAAAGAAATAATAATATCTGTTCGTGGAATGAAACTTGCGTTCCTCAAAGCTTGTTTGTTTCAAATTGGGTGACTACAAAAACCAAAAAAAAAACAGTTAAACAGTGTTCTTTAAATAACTGTATAATCTCATTCCGTACGAATATGTTGACATGTTCCTAAAAATAGTCACATACCTTCCCTGTCATTCG